CTCTGTATATACTTGTACACAACAAAGCTAAAGTATCTGTATTTGACACTATTGTGTGGCTTCTAAAAATAACTCAAGCTATCCAGATCTGTTAACTTAGTGGAGCAAAGCAAACCTATTACAGAAATTTGGGAGCATGAATATTCTGGTACCCTGTACACTATTGGATAGCAGGGTATGGCTGTAAGAATGTGAAACAGACTGAGACTTGACCCTCTTTATAAAAGGTGAGATGACCACATTAGCCTTTAGTGCTGACAAGCCAAAGAATAGCATGAGTTCTAAATTCAGCACAAATGTCTAAAAGGTGAGATGACCACACTAGCCTTTAGTTCTGACAAGGCGCAGGCTACAACAAATAATAGCACAATTTCTAAACTCAGCACAAACCTGGAAAATAGGTGAGGAGGATTCAAGAAAAGAAAAAGCTTTCAGAATCAATTTCCTTGATGACGGAAGAGATTTAAAGGTACAGCAACTATACTAACCTTTGAAAGGTGAGATGACTATGCTAGCCTTTAATGCTGACAAGACACAGGCCAAAACAAAGAGTAGCGCAAGTTCTAAACTTGGCACAAACCTGGAAACAGCTGAAGAGGATTCAAGAAAAAAAAGCTGAGAGGGAGAAATATGCAGAAGAATTAAAACAAGCAATAACAAAGTTATAAATTTTAGATGAGTTCGTGAATATGAAGAACAAGGAAAAATTGATAATGTAAGTCTTGCCTTTCAGAATCAATTTACTCAATGAGGAAAAAAATTCAGAACAGGAGGAGAGCAGGGTTTATATGGAAAAACATTGAGACACAATTTTGGCATGGACAACACACAAAAGAGCAGCATTGAAACACACTAACCCTAACACATCCAAATGTGGACAAAGCCTTCTCTTGATATCCTTCCTACTAAACTTCCTAACATCTTTCAACTTCATAATTGCATTTCTTATGACCAGATTTGTCTTCACAGTTGACACTGTGAACATCATTCAACTTCCCCAAGTTGGAAGAGGAAAATGATTAATAGTACAGTTTGTCATAAAAGGATCCAATACTGCACACCTGAGACATAACACCCACACTACATATGTGCAGCAAGCTAAGTAAATAGTTATCTATCATGTACATACAGGTCTGCTCAGTTTTTTGCCCATCAGAATAAATAAATCACATGTTATACCACATGTAACTTTTTTGACCTTGGAAAAATTGTCGCAAAAATTCACTACATATAATGCTGTAGCTGCTCAGGCAATATTACTGAAGCTGTTTCATAGTAACAGAAAGGGTGTTACATGCAGTTGAGTTGATGAGATCACACCAAAACACTGGGTGGGTGTATGTAGTCAATCTTTTGAATACTTTTGTCAATCTGAAAAAAGTTACAGCATGTATTACATATGAATAACTTATGCTGATGAGCAGATAACTGAGCAGAACTGTATGTACATGATAACCACCTATTCACTGAGCCTGTTGCACATATGTAGTGTGTGTGTTCTGGCTTAGGTGTGGAGTGATAGATCATTTTATGACAAATCATACTCCCAATCATTTTTTCCTGCCCACTTGGGGAAGCCGAATAATGTTTGCAGTGTGAGTAACCTCTCACACAATAATTTCTTATAATTTCTTGTACCTAAAACTCTTCACAACCCTTCCACTTTACCTGTCTACAGTATCTTATTGGTTTTAACTAATGTACAACATAAATTCTACTCCACCAATAGCTAAATTGTCATTGTGTTATTGCTATCTTTTGTGTTGCTTGATCAGCGTTGCTCCTACTCTTTTTTTTCTGTAGCACACACCTCCCAACAAAAACAGGTTGTGGGCGTGCAAAGGTGTTTTTTTCATTTTCCCGCGCCTAGGTGCCACTAGGCGCACCGGGCGTGTTAACTGCTGTGAGCTGAAATGCTGCTTTTTCATCAAATTTTATTCTATATTGGCATTGGTGGAGCTATTTACCACAGCACCTTTGCATTCAAAGGCAAGATAGATTAATAATTGTTGTCATCAGAGTCCTACTACTCTTGTTGACAACCCCAATATTGGTGATTGGACGTAGAACTCCTGAGCTTTGGTGTGACTTTCAAAAAGGCGTGCCAAGCCCATTTTTTCCAATTTCTTAAAGTCGGAAGCGCGCCACAGCAAAAAGGCGCACTGATGGTGCATTTTTTACGCCGTGCCACAACCTGACAACAACAACAATTCAATCATCCTTGCGTTTGCAAATGGAAATCATTTTGTCAGTCTAGAATCTGGCATGCAATCAGTCCCCTGCCAATGTATGCCAATGTATATGTTTGTTGTATGTCATACTTTGCTGTCCCATACAAGATGATTGTGGTGTTTGTTTTTAAATCAAACACTAAGTAACAATACAAGCAAGCGGAGTACTAAGTACAAACGAAGTACAAAAAATAACATAGGTATTTAGGCTAGTGACCCCTTCAAGCTGTGCTATAAACAAAAATTATATGGAAAGCATGCACCCCTGTTTGTGTGCCTTTTTTTTCAAAACAGGCTATGAACATCTTTGTAGCCCGGTGTCTGACCCCGTCAGGGGGCATTGGGTATTTTACACCGGGTTAGATTTAGTGGGATCCTTCTTTTCATTCTAGCTTCTTCAAATCTTGAAGAACCCATCAAAGTATACCAGGATTAAATTCAGCAAAGCTTATAGATATCAGAGGAGGCTTCTTAACACAGGAAACAAAGATGTATATTCTGCTGTGGGATGACAGATTACACAATGCAGTTTCTGAGCCAAAACACGCATATAATGCAAAAACAAGGCCAAAATAATTTATTTTGGCTCATCAACTGTGTTTAATACAATACAACAGGGTTTCCCATGGGAAAATCACCTCTTTCTTCCTGTGTAAGGCCAAACAGACTTTCAACCAATCACAATCTCTGTTCAAGACAATGATTGATCCAAATTTGTGGCCACTCTTTTGGTACAACAAGAGTGGTCAGGTATACAAGTCAGGTGGCCTAAGCACTTAAGTACTTAGGGTAGTACCTCTAGGTTGGACAAACAATGCAAGAACTCCAGATGTGTTCAAAAGCATGTACAGTTGTTTTCAAAAAGGATGAAATCAAGGCACTTCAAAAACTGAGAGGTGGATTTGCGCCACCTGTGAAAGGTGTCAAATATGCATACAAAAATGCTGCTCTCAAAGGTCAACCATGTCTGATCCAAAAATGACTGTGGCACAGTTGGTTGAGCGCGCCCCTGGGCTGTTACGCTTGGTCATACACCTCTTGAGGTGACTCTCTTTTTGAGTTTGAGCCGGACTGGCTTGCCTTTTTCTCATCACACATTTTGACAAGTTTTTGTTATTCAGTCTGCTTGTCTCATAAAACAAAACAATGAACTTGCTTAACTATCATTGTTTGCTTTGTATGATTCTTTTTGCTCTATCAGTACGTCAAGACAAAAATATTGGCATTTAAAAGAGGCACACCAAGTCAAACACAAGACCGCCAGCAACATACCATGCCATCTTACCACTGCGCCACCAAAGAATGAGGTAGCGTGGCTGGACAACTTATTCAATACTGTATAATGGTCAATCTGGCAGGTAAACTGGGTACCTTTCACAGGTGGCGCATGGTCCACCTCTCAACTTTTGAAACACCTCGATTTCATCCTTTTTGAAAACGACTGTAATTACTGAGAGACTCAGAGTTACTACTATCAGTGCGGCTAAACTTAGGAAAGTCCCACACTCACGCCTACTCACAAGGCGTTGAGCAAGGGACTTGTGCCAAACTCGCACAAACTCTTTACTCAGGGTTGGAGGCTTTTGCAGGAGAGCACCTCAAAAGGCCTCTACAGCCTTTTCCTTCAAGCATTGGATCTCTGGACCAAAGAAAAAGATTGTTTGCGGTTCTTTTCCGCACATTGTACATGTTTTTTTTTCCTGAGGAAGTTGCCCTCCTCCTTTCTTAAAATCATCTCAAAATTTCCAAGAATTTATATGTAGATGTAACATGTGTAAGTTGTATGTAGGTAGACTGCGGTGGAAAAAACATGACAAAACTTGATCACTGCCAAACAAATGTCCTTGACAAGCACGATGAGGAGCAATTGGACAAAGATATGAGGAGCAGTTGGACAAATCCAACAAGGTAAAGAGTCATACTACAGTCGCTACGTTCATCCGAGATCTCAGCTGCGGGCAAATGTAAAACTTGATGAATATCATCTAGTTCTGATAATCTGCAACACGTTGAATCATCCCAAGTGGTTCTCCAAATGCTTAATCACCTCAGTACTACTCAAAAATTATCAACAAATTGAACAGGACCTTCAATCTCATCTTGATGTTCTTTTCTTTGTTCTACATCCAAATTGACCATCTTTCAGTGAATTTCAGGTTTGATCGACTTCATTTGAATAGTCAGAATTTAATCCACTTCAATAGATGGTTTCAAGATGCTTTTGAATTTTCAGCATTTTGGATTTGTATTCTCAGTCATACTAATGGCCATGCTATTTTTCTAGAGCGCTCTATATTGCGTGTCAAAGACTCAACTTAGAAAGGGTCCTCTGCTCACAGCTGATTGTGAAGTCCAGCTGAGCTTGACTGAAAGTGAATTCTCGGACAAAACTGAAAAAACAAGAGTAGCTTAGCACTCGCAGCACTTATATGATAATTTTACATGTTAATTACACCTTGAAGTTTTTGGAAACTTTGAGATGATATTAAGGAAGGAGGGGAGCAACTTCCTCAAAAAAAAACATGTACAATGTGCGGAAAAGAACTGCGAACAATCTTTTTCTTTGGTCCAGAGATCCAATGTTTGAAGGAAAAGGCTGTAGAGGCCTTTTAAGGTGCTATCCTGCAAAAGCCTCCAACCCTGAGTAAGGAGTTTATGCGAGTTTGGCACAAGTCCCTCGCTCGACGCCTCGCGAGTAGGCGCAAGGACTTTGATAAGTTTACAGTGCGGCCTGCTTATTCCGTTATTTCTTCATGTATCAGAGTTGAATTAGGTAAAAGCCGATTTGAAACTACTCTTCCATTTCGAAATTTTTCCTCGAGCAGGTGGTGAAACCACGGTGGGTCGATCAATTATTGCAATGATTTTAGCCTCAAAACTCATTCTTGTAGATGGCTGGTTGTGACCTTGAAGCTTGAAGGAGGCGTGGGGAACATTGATTCCGTGCCCATCTTCTTTTGCGCGGTCGTCGTGTTGTAAGAAGACATAAACTTCATCCGCTTGTTGGTTGCTTAGATAATACCACTCTTGACCCTCTCTATACCTCCATGCCTGAAGTGCACTGTCGCCATTTTTCGGTTCAATGTCCATATTCAAAGCATCTTCTTTTACAAGTGAACCCCATTTGCAGATACCAAGATGGTTGTCTTCAACCTGGCGAATTGGCCTCCAGACATTTAGCATAACAACTTGAAGGTCTTGTCGGTCCCTCAATTTCTTTCCAAAGACATATTCCGCCGCTAAGCCGGCCTTCAAAAACGAATCCCGTATTTGTTTTTTCATGTGTTGAGCCCCTTTCGGCGACAAGTCAGAGTGAATTGTCACAACTGGTTTGATCGATTCCCGTGAAGTGTGATCTCTAAAAGCCGATGCATAAACCAACGCCTCTTTCGGTTTTATCCTACGGGGTCAAAATCAATGAGCCTTTTTTGTGTTCAGAGACAGTTTCTTCAAGGATTTCCGTACAAGTCTTTCACAAGTGCAAGTGAATCTGCTGCCAAGGCAGTTTGGTGCTGCTCAGATAATTCCACAAGATTTTCAATTCCAGCAACATGCCTTTTCGAAACGTAAGTAAATCCATCGGTTTCCAAATCCGGAGTTTCATCTATACTTCGGAGGTCTCGAAGAGGAACTTGGTAGGTTCTTGAATCAACCGCCAAGGCCTTGTTTGCTTCATCCCATTCATAACAATGAACTTCTCCTAAAGCTGTTCTCGGGCCTGATAAGCGACAAGGCAAATCAAAATTCGGCTTAGTTTTGACAACAATCAGCCAAAATTCTGGAAAGGCGAATGAACACAAACTTTTGAACCCTCGTCTCAAAACACTTCCGGGACCGCAGTTTATAAATGAGCGATAAAAGAGAAAGAAAAAGACCACTTTCTGGAATGACGATGAATACATCGAGCCGTTTCTTTTCATCAGAAAATTAATATTTGATGAAAATTAAATGAGATCGTGTAGGGAGGAATTCAACACTGATATTCAAGAGCGTTATGGGATGATAGTTTCCATCTTACATCATGAAGTGAGACACCCCACTTCTGTCATAAACCTAGTTATAGTGAGACCATTATGAATCGGCAACTCTATTACAAAAGCTTCGAGGATGCAAATCCTCGTGAAATACGGCTCTTAGATTCGAGGCTAGAAGAGAAGTGTCTCAGGTTCGTGAAACCATGTCTTCCTCATGAAATCGCGCTACGCTTGAGTGAAGGAAGCGAAAGACGAGGGTCACGGAAACATGATTACTCCGAGAAATAAAAAAAACAACTTCTTCAAGTCTACAACAATCCTATACGAGAAATTCAACATAAGTCGAAGCTCATAATCGTACTTTGTTGTCTTGTCTCACAGAGGCTGAAGATTCCAATTCATCAATCACTCCAGCTGTGTTTAATGAATCCAGCAAGATGTTGCGATAACACTATGACACTATTGACTACTTCAACTTGTAAATAGTTTCACTTTGTTTTTCAACGGATCTTACAGTGATAAAACACAAGTCCAATCCTCTTGCAGGGCTCTTTGAACCTTCGCGAGCTCGATGCCCTGGCGCGAGCTCGCGAGGAGGAAGTGGCTGACTGCGGGACTTATTTAAATTAGGTGATAAGCTCTGAGATGAGCTAGGTTCTGACTCCTGAGACGATATGAGTCAGGTAAATTCCTTCGGCCAGAAGTCTGACTTCCAGGAATACGTTTCAACACCCTCACAAAAATGTCGCACGAGAACCAGAGAGTCCTGATGATTTGTACATAAGTATATGGAGTGAAAAAATCAATTGATATTTATTGAGCTTCGCAAAAATTGAAGCTAGCTACTGATTGCCTTCTAATTTTGGAACAGCCATCAACACGTCATATTCGGAGCTTATGGTCTCAAACGATTCCATTGCCAATGTGGTTGTATATTACGGGCTGCCCGGCCGCCCGTGTAATTCTAGTAATTCTAGCTCATCCCAGCTGAACCGGTTTGCAAATGCTGTCATGTGATTGCTTAACCTTGAAATTCTTCCTTCAGGCGGTGATGGATCAATAAGGGCGATGATCTTAGCCTCAAAACTCACTCTTGTAGATGGCTTGTCGTGACCTTGAAGCTTGAAGGAAGCATGGGGAACATTGATTCCGTGTCCATCTTCTTTTGCGCGGTCGTCATGTTGCAAGAAGACATAGACTTCATGAGGTTGCTGATTTTTCAAGTAATACCATTCTTGTCCCTCTCTGTACTTCCATGGCTGTAGTGTATTTCCAACATGTGTTGGTATGATGTTTGATTTCAAAGCATCTTCTTCCAAAAGTGAACCCCATTTGCAAATACCTAGATGATTGTCTTCAACTGCATGGATTGGCCTCCAGACATTCAGCATAATAACATCTTGACCTGTCTCCAAGTACTTTCCAAATCCAACCTCGCTTGGATCCGTTGACTTCAAGAATAGATTCTGTGCCGAATTTTTCATGTATGTAGCCCCGGCCGGTGACATGTCAGAGTGAATTACTGCAACTGGTCCTCTCGATGCCCATGAGGTCTGACTGTGATCTCTAAAAGTAGCTCCGTAGACGAATGCCGACGTGACTCCCGTCCTAAGCATTCAATATCGATGAGTCCCTTTTTGGTGTGTTCAGAGACGAATTCAAAGAATGCTTCCTTACAACTGTTTTACAAGTTTTACGGAATCTACTTCCAAGGCCAGTTGGTGTTCTTCAGACAATTCTACCAATCTCTCGATTCCTGGAACATGCCTTCCGGCAACGTAAGTAAATCCATCGGATTTCAAATCCGGCCTCTCGTTCATAGTTCGAAGGTCACGAAGAGGAACTTGATAGAGCTGTGAGCCATCAACTCGATAGGAATTGGTGGATTCATCCGCTAAATAACAACGAACGTTTCCTAAAGCTGTTTCTGGACCTAATAGACAGAAAAGTGAATCCAAGTTCCGGTCAGTATTGAGAGATTTTTGGACACATGCACACATACGTTCTAACCCTCGTTTTATGATATCTTTGCAATTTATAGAAGAATGATAAAGGAGAATGCAAAATATCAGGGTTTGAAACAAGGATGGATACATTTAGATGATTGTTTTTGTTGAGGAAATTATTTTTTGACAAAAAAACAAGTCATGATCAATTTTTCACCAAATATCCATCAAAGCTATACATAGGATAATAGCATCATGAAATGAAACTTCCCCTGAGCTTCTGTCACAAAATCATACTGAGACATCAATTCTCAGTCGGTAATTCTATTTTGAAAGCTGCGAGAATGTAAGATCTGTTTGGTGAAGTTCGGCTCTGAGATTTGGCACTAGAAGAGAAGTGCCTGGTCTGATCCGCATAATTGTTTCTTCCTGAACAAAATCGCGCTTCGCCTGGATGGAGAAATGTGAAGAGAAATGTGACGCAAGGTGATGATGATGCTGAAAAAGAAGAGCAATCAATCAAGCACATTTGCTACCCATCTCACAAGTGCTGACAAGTCGAATTGACCACCAGTCACATTTTGACAATCTCCAACATAATGACATGAGCTTATAATAAAATTATGCACTCGTTTGCATTTGAAACTCTCTTCATTAATCATTTACCTATGTCAAGCTCTGATTCGAGCTGGATTATGTGAATCCCACAGGTGAACATCAGAAGTCAAAAAATACATATTGGTCATCCTTTTCGCAAATCCAAAAAAAATCTACGTCTAATTTTCTGTTTTATTACCACGTTTTTTTGCCCACTAATCGTTATCTTATACAGCCTGGTAGTTCAGATATTCATCCATGAAGCCATCTCTCAGGAATGACCTTCAAAATCTTGATGTATATAACGATATTGCATAACAAAAGAATGCAGTGTGTATCAAGCATGAAAGAATGGATAAATTGTATATCTAAGTAAGTTGCCACTCAGGGATTACATTCATACCACATGACCTCAAAAGATTGGTATGTCTATGCGTGAATTGGAATTGAAAATCAGTCTAATCAACAAAAACCCATATGAAAATTGCATTGGCTGTAAGATTGTAGAAATCTGTACAGAACTCACAAGTCCAAGGCTAAAGATGATTGTAAAATGGCATATTAAAAAGAGACAAAGAAATATTTATGATGAGATGATGAATATAGCTTGGATGACCTGGTTTCAACCAATTTTCAAAACTGTAAAGTTTCTTGATAAACTCTCTTTTATCAAAGCGTACCAAGTTAGTCTCTACTGGCTTGATTACCCATATCGGTCCCTCCTTATTTTCGAAAAAAGTGCATTTTAGCATAATTGCATATAACACTAAATATACTGTACAACAGATATGACTAGTAATCCTTAGAAGCAACTGCCATCCGTTCAAAGAAAAGTGAGTTGTTGACTACAGAACACATGCAAAGTTCTTTCTTCTTGAGATATTACTTTTTTGAATGTGTCATAAACAAATATCCACCATGTTGAAAGGTTAAAAAAATATTGACTGGATACTCAGAGAAAGTTTTGTGATACATTCATGATATAGGAGTAATTGTGCAGGTTGTCTTGGAGCCCATTATAGCCCAAATGACTTGAAGGCCTTTGAACCCTAGCAGGATTGAACAAATTCATAACTTAACACTTTTGATTGAGATTGTCTTGGAGGACTGTTTGTTCATGACATAGCATGAAGTCTTCCAGCCCCAAGAGGGATTGAGCAACTTGCAAAATTGTCTTGCAGGCCTGTTGGTCAATGGTGTAGTGTGGAGTCCTCCACACCCTAGAGGGATTCAACAACTTGTTGGGTGAAATCTGAGAGGGTAAATCACAATGCATCCTAAGTGAACATTTCACTTGCTTTGTGGCCACTTTCTTTGGTTAGTCTGGGTCCTAGTAAGAATTATTGTGTAAAGTACACTTGGTTTTAAGAGTAAATTTTGCAAGAAATGCAAAAACTTGAGGGGTGTCAAGCATTTTGTTAGTGTTATTCCAGTTTGCTTTTGTACCTTCTTCATTGACACATGATCTCATTTGTTTTTGTGCTTTTGAGTAGTATCTGCAATAAAGCAAGAAATTGTTAGTGTTTTCAATTAATCCACAGTGTTTAAAATTACATGACAGAGATTTTGTTAGATTTCTATTTGCTAGGTGATTGTCAAGTGTTCTGATCCCTGCTTGCAATTGTAAGATGGCCACTGCACTGCCTTCTCAATTTTGGCAAATCCTTTTGCAATGAGCTTGGGGTTTGTTGAAAAAGATTTGGTACCTGGCTCAAAAGGGAAGGACCTAAGATTCAAATTGTCTTTTATGCATTTTTTCAGACTTCCTAAACTTGTTTGTAAAATCATTGTTGAGTATTGTTCTTTTGCTGCATTTCCTGATATCTAATTGGCAAGTTCATTCAGTTCTATACCCTTGTTCCCTGGCATCAAGGTATGTTTGTGTTTTCCAGCAGTTTCCAAAGTTGGGTATGTATCTAAATTTGGATGTGTTGACCTGTAATTGCTTTGGGTATACTGTGAATCAGTTGTAATACACTTTCATTATCACTGAAAATGGCAAGGTTATTAGGCATTGGTCTGGTTTGTTTTAAAACATAATCTGCTAATTTGTCTGCTAGCTGTGAGTCGTCAGCAACTGTTTGGCTGACTCTTCAATAAAAGATGAAGTGCAGACAACAATAAAGTCTTCACTTGGTACACTCTTGTGAAGACTACAGTTAGTTGTCCTCTGATAAGAGGATTTGGTGCCAGTGAGATGGCTGAGCTGTCCTTCTTGGATCTGGCTCTGAGCTCTGGTTCTTACAACTCTGGAGCCTTCAGTACTTTATACTCTGAAGGATCAGAGATACCGCAGGGGTACTTTATACTCTGTAATAGAGGAACCCAGTTATAAATTCCAAACTTGACCCTGTAGCCACTGCTCCCACTAGTTAAGGACACCACTTGAGGTTCTATAATGACCTGAACAATAAATAACTAAGAAGATCAAGCTACAAAAGTATCACTTTACTCAATATTCTTGGTGAAGAATCAAGTAAGTTGTGACACCCCTGTGCCAGTAACACACCACACCACAGCAGGCATGTTTTTTGGTGTGTTGCTCCGCAACACACAACAACACCCAGCAGTAGACGCTGTGTTGCAGTAAGTACAGCAACAACCAAAGGTAAGCTTGGGTTGCACTGTGCCATGACTGCTGTGCAATGCAACAGGCACAACAGTGCCAAAAAACACTAAATTTACATTTTTTGGGGCAGTGAGACAACAAATGTTGTTGTGGCCAAAAAAACTATTGATTTGATGCATCTTGTTGCGCTGCGGGTCAGGCCGCAACCTTGAAGGCTTGGGCAAACCTACTAGATTTTCACCAGGAACAAACTCAAAAGTGGTAGACCTGATTTGGTTTAGCTGGAATTTATTAGAAAAGATTATGAGCTGAAGGGTACTGAAAGACAATGTGGCATCACTAGCCCAGCTTCTGGTAGCTTCTTTCCTAAACCTCACTCTTACCCCACCCATCTCTTTCCATGTGTCACTGAAACTAACCAAGATTGATGTTTTGCTTTTCTATAGTAAAATTCAAACAAAACTAGCTCTCAACCCACCAGTATACCTGACAAACAAAATGATAAAAAATTTACTATCAAACATTTCATGTATCATTCCTTAAGTAGGCTCAAGTACAATGCAAAACAGTAAAGAACAACCTTTGAAAACACAAGTCCTGGTGGGATAAAGAAAAGCATGATCCAATCCTCAAGAACTATTATAGAGCCAGAAGGTGGATGATTTGAACACCTACCTCAAGCACACATGTGTTTTGACAAGTGGTAAAATTTTTTCAAAGCCCAAGTCCTCCAAACAAAAGTCTCCCATTCACAAACAATCCTAGCCAGTAGCTAACTTTCAAAGCATACAAGTACACCAAACCAACATCCTCAGATGAAGTTGCACCACTAATCAATTCAGACAGTTCCACTTCAACCAAAATTACCAAACCACCAAAAGGAACACACCAATACCCAAAGCTCAAAACCAAGGAAATCAATGCTAAATATACCTGCCATAGAAGATGACCTATGCAACCTATTTGATGCTTCTTTTGAATTAGGTCACTTCCCAGACAACTGGAGGAAGGCAATAGCAAGTATCATCAGCAGTAGAGCCAGAAAACACTCCTATTCCAATCCAAATGCCTACAGACCCATTTGCTTACAACTTTGCCCCTTGGTGAGATGAGGTTGAAATCTTGAGAGCCTAGCGGAGCCATTAGTTTCTTGGCTTGCAAGTATGTTTTTGAGTAGGAAGGAGGGTTCAAGTAGTTATGGTGTTGGATTACAAAATCCAAGGTAAATATGTTGGCGGTGACAGTTCTTGGACAGCAAGTATTGTAAATTCCATTGTGGCGAGTGCTTGGGTGATAGAGATAATTACAACAATTGATCAAAAATGTTGAAGTTGTTTAAAGGCTGGTTGATGAGTGATTCTTTGTCAGGTATAGAGGTGCTGTCTTGGAAATCAATGATTGGTGGTAAGGGGTGGCTGTTGGGTGTTTGAATGTTTGTATTATGACTCATTTTCAGCATCTCCTTGAAGAGTTATTCAAAATCTTGTTTTGCAGAGTGGGCAATGAAGGCTTTTGAGACAGTGGGTGTATTTTGGTAGGAACCTATCTATGTTATCCTTTGATCTTTATCTGTCAAAACTGACATATCACGCACAATTTTGGTCAACTTCATTGTTGGCACAGACTTTAGTGTTATGAGGGTCACCACAATTAGAGCAGTGAACAATGTTTTTGCATGCAGAGTGTGTATGATAAAGATCTAGACAGTTAAAAACACATTGTTGGTCCTTGTTCATAGTGTTTGCCGTTTATTCTATTATAATCAATGTAGAGTCCTCCTTCTTCAAGCTTGTATGATAATTCTTTATCTAGTATGTTCATAATGATAGTACTATGCATCTTTTTCGTGTCCTTTGGGTTTCTAATCCATTTTGCAGAGTGAAGAACTTTACGTGGAATATCATTTTGTTGACTGATTTTGTCAAGGAATTCAGATTTCTCTACTTCAAATTCAGTTGGTACAAAGTTGAACAATACCGGGTATCTGATTTGGGTGATTTCAAGATCTTTATGTGCCAGTTTTGTCCATTTGTGTTTGTTTTCAACTAACCAGGTCTTCATCAATCTATTGTCCATATCAATGGTTATATCTCCCGACTTAAGTACTGTTGCGCCGCGAATTTTGACCGGGGTATCATTAACTTTTGCATTTATTGAGGACAGGGCGTTATTGATTTGTTGAACTATTTCCTTGCTGGTCATGTCTTTGAAAGGTTCTTTTCTCGGGATTTTATGGATGATCAGTGTGACTGATTCGAATCTGTCGATCTCGCCATTTCTTGGTGCTGGTCTCGGTGATGATCGAAGCGAAGCTTGTTGGTTTGGTTTGGGATACGGATTCACCCGAGCTTGGGGTTTGGCTGAAAGAGGCTGGTTGTTGGTCGGGGGTTGTTGGTGAGAATCTTTGAGTCGATCAGCTTTGAGGCTCTTGATTTCTTCCCTGAGTTCTTGAATTGCCTCCATGCACATTGACATCATCGTGATCATGCTCTGAATGAGCGCATCATTGGACCTGCTTTGGTTCGTAGACCAAGTGGTAAGAGTGTCCGTCATTTCGTCAATGTCCATGATAGCTTGGTTTTTTTTCGGGGTTTTCGGAGGAGGGTCGGGGGGGTTTTCAGATACCGAACGAAGAAAAAGGTGAGTTGATGACAAAAGAGATGAGGATTGGCAGCATTCGCCCCCTCAGACTCCAGAGGTGCACTGGCCTTGATCGACCCCGACTGAACTCGGGGTCCTCCAGACTGTGACCCGACTAAGCGTGGGTGCGCTGACCCTGGCGGGCTACCCGTCACATGTGCAGCGCTACAGAGATTGTCACACAGTCACATGACTTGGAAATTTTCAAACCATTCACCAAAGTTTTCGAATTCGACTTTGATTTTTTTGGCAAGATTTGAAAGAAAGCGTGATTAGAAACCAATTCAAACACTGAAAACTTAAGAAATGGCCAAATCATTAAGATCAAAGAGTAAGCACCAATTTCCGAATCTTTTCTCAAACAAAAACCCTTCCAAAAAAACCAAACTAACCAAAACTGATTGAAATGTTTTCCATAGGTAAAAGATCATTTAGAGCTAAGAAAAGATCATCAAATGATTCAGTTTTCAAAATCGCAGACACAAATCGAACCAATAGATTATCAGAAAAATTAAAAGAATCAGCATCCAAACCCATCCAATCAACTACCACAAATGAATCCAATTCAATGGAAATTGAAAAAGACGTAGAAGCAGAAACAGAAGAAGGAACAAAAGAAGGAGAAAAAGTTAAAGTGGCTACTTCTGGTCATAGAATGAGCGGTCGTGAAGTTTGGAAATCTAATACGAAAGGTAAACTATCTCTTCTACAACGTATATTCCAAACTCCAAGTCTTTAATGAGTTTATCTTTTGAAATTTTAGGTGTACTATTAAAAAGATCACCATCGACTGTCTTTTGGGGAAAGAGACAACCTGGTAAACCATTGAGACGTCGATAGAATTGATTTTGTTTTTCTTACTAATGGAAGAGAGATGAATTTGTGTGTTTTATAATTGAATTGTGTATGATTGAGAGAAAGTGAGAGTTAGAATGAGTTGAATGGTAAATGAATGGTTAATATTAGGAAATGAAACAATGTTAGAGAAGTTGAAGTGGTTGCTGAGTTTAACGATCGAGTCATGAATCAATGGATTTACATTCATTCGTACCAGATAGTGAATTTGGTAATTTAGTTTCCAGTTGACCATTTTCTCTGATTACCATTCTCATTCTCAACTTTTGATTTCCTTGACCACTCACAAGTTCAACAAGATGCCAAATCGAAAGAAAGTACCAGAAGTGGATTTGATCAAATTCCATCAATCACTTATACCTGATGTTTATTTAACTGATGAACAAAAGTTACATTCAAAGCGATTGGATCGATTGATTCATTCATTCAGAACTCGATATCGACATCCACCTTATTTCTTTACTCGTTCACCTGGTAGAGTCAATATCATCGGTGTAAGTTTGTATTTATAATTTCATCATCAAACCTTCTTGAAACGGTTGACTGATTCCGTTTCCTTGTAATGAATAGGAACATATCGATTACTGTGGTTTTTCAGTCTTGCCAACTGCTATTGAATTCGATTTGATGGTAGCATGTTCATTCGATCATCAACCCGATTCAAGTTCTGAAGATCAATATGATATACCTACGATCAAACCGTTTTCACAATTTGTTGAAGTTTCTTTATCAAATACAAATCCTCAATTTCAACCCCATCAGTTCTCTTTTACGTTTGATTCTAATCAAACTCATCATCATATCCCTCGTTGTCCTACAGGTGGTTGGGTCAATTATGTCAAGGTAATGTTCTTCATCGTAATCATACTTGCATTCATCAATTTGATCTCTGATCGGTCAATTTTCTCATCTTAGGCTTCATTAGAATCAGTTTTAAACTCGATAGAAAATGTTTATCAAGTTTCAGTTCCATCCAAAATTAATCTTTTATTTGATGGGAATTTACCAATCGGATCCGGACTTTCATCATCAGCTACAATGACCATTGGATCAGTTTTGAGTTTTAGAAGATTATTGAGTCCTAAATCAAAAGTCATTAAGAAACATTTGGTAATCAAATTAGCAATCGAAAGTGAAAGATCATGCGGGATTAGTGTAGGTGGGATGGATCAAACTGCTTCAGTTTTTGGTGAAATCAATAAATTACTTTACATGTGAGCACTTTCATTTCTCCTGTTCAATTTTCAATTTTGCACATTGACTGATTCATGTTTTGTGAATTATGTTGACAGTCAATTCACTCCAGATCAAAAAGTAATCCCAATTTCATTTCCAACAAACCCTCCAAGTACATTTGTGATTGCCAATAGTTTAATCAAATCCACCAAATTAGATGCAGCAAAACATCAATATAATCTAAGAGTCATTGAAACTAGAATCGGAAGTAAATTGATCATAAAGCACTTTTTACCTAAAACTTCATCACAAAATCAAATTAATTTGAAAGGAATCATGGATCAAATTGGTTGGGAAACCGATGTAATGAAGCATGAGGTATTAGGTGATGAAAACGGTTTAGAGATTGGTCAGGTTTTGGAGATGTTGGAGATTGGGATGGATCAGTTTGTTAGTGAGGTTGAGGATGGGATTGAAGCTATACCTTTGAAGGGTAGATATATGGTTTTCAATCGAATTCGACATGTTGTTCGTCATTTTTGTTTCATCTACCCTGACTAATCTTAAATTCTAATCATCTTTTAAATTTCTTTTTGTTCAGTTAACCGAAGCTAAACGTGTAGAAGAATTTAAAGATTTAATTCTTAATCAAACTTCTGAAACCGAACATATATTGGAAAAATTAGGAAACCTTATGAATCTATCTCATCAAAGTTGTTCAAAAGATTATGATTGTAGTTGTCCAGAACTTGATGAATTGATTGAAATCGGTTTAAAATATAAATCATTAGGATCACGTCTTACAGGTGAGTTCTTGGATTTTTCTTCAATCTCTTTCTGACACCTTTTGATTTACGTATGTTTCTTTTGGGAACGGCGAAAATATAGGTGCTGGTTGGGGTGGATCTACCATTCATTTAATTAAAGATGAAGATTTAGATGGATTTTTAAATGTATTAAAACAAGATTATTATTTAAAACGGTTTCCAAATTTAAATCAAGATGAACTATCTTCAGCTTTATTTACGTCTAAACCTAGTTCAGGTTCATGTATTTTAGATTCATCATTTTTTCTTATGTAATCATTTTGCTTTCTTTTTTACAATTATCTTTTTGTTTTGTTTTTAAGACAGATGATGTATGATGTATTTTTGTAAAGGGGTTTGGTTGGTTTGGTTTCGTTTTTGAAAGGTTCGGTGAGCAGGAAGGTGTTTTGTAAGCATTATCTGATGAGTAAACCAACGTTTCTCATATCAATTGTCCATGCAAGACTTCATTTTACCTATGCAACCTTATCACTTTTGTTTTACCGCTTCAACATTAAACTCCATGATTCTCCATAATGCGGACGCCCGGGCACAGTTTCTAGGGTTTTTGAAGGCAGACTTATACACATTGAGGGCGCTGGGATGTGCCTCAGGCGTGAAGACATCGGGAAAGAACTGAACGGACATCTCAAAGTAGCATCTTTTATGAATGGAAGACGCAGGGGAGGAAAGCGAAGCGGGAGAAGTGCATGCCTCATAGAGCTCAGACAAAAAGTTAAGTCCAGTCAATACCCTCAAATATTAGTCATATGACCTGCCTTAAAAGTCTTCGGTCGATTTGAGGATATCGATCCATCAATATTACATTTGTAGCGATCGAAGAACTTCATCGACATGCATTTTTCATCTCATTAAATGAATCTCATCGAATTTGAAAAACAGAACGTCAGTTAACTCGAAGTTGGGGTATAATGAGATTCTCATGCCGCGCAACTTCAAGGCTAAACAATCGAGTGACCAAAGCTTTCCGACAAGCCAACAACTACGTCCAAGCCGATTGGTCAGAGCCACGTATTTGATCATGCCTGGGCCACATATCCACTGCCTTTAAGGGTGAACAAGTCGATTTGTGATGGATCCCGGACGGCCGATCATCAGACAACTTGTATATTACGGTATATTACGCTATCCTGCTGAAATCTACATCCCGCGCTTCTGGTGGCCGTGTATGCGTCAAAGTCTTACAGTGGTGTTTCATACTTGAGTTGGCAGTAAAAAGCACACGCAGTCTTCATGCATCTAAGAAAAGAGAAGAGATATGGAAATTGGCTTGATTGACTTAAAGCTTCGAATCACATTATGACCTCAAGGACAATTGGTCCGCTGAAAATATTCCAAGTGTTTCTTATTTGTGACTTGCCCAATCAAGCACTTCATGGAGATGCTATTGAGATAAGTTGGATTTCTGATACCATACTCTTCGCAGGAGACTTGGAGGCGTAGACATAATGGCTTGAGACTGAAGTTGTCTGCTTGCAAGACTACCGCATATAGTCACTCGATGTGCATCGAGAGAGACAGAGCAAAAGATGTCCAGCTCTCAATTTATGTCAGGAAAGAAATCACGCCCGACAGAGACTATCGGGAGGCGTTGATGATTATGTTCGTCTGTTGGAAGATCGAAAAACGACATTTTGGTCATCTTCTAAAAAGCGTCCAATCTGATCACTCTAGATTTGTGAATGCTTTGCATGTAACATGTGATTGAATAAATCGGTCCTATTTCAACCAAGTATGGAAACTTAGAAGACTCTTTGAGAGATGCTCGATAGCCAAATGTCAACATTGTGGATTCCAAATGTTTACAATCAATATCAACGTATAGACGATCCCTTAGATCTTTGGGATGACTGAGTGAGAATGTATATAAATCTTGGCACATCCAGTGACTTGATATCAGGAACAGAAAAAAAATGTCTGATCACAATTTCTGTCGGCAATGAGATGTGCCAGAGACTCTGGAGCCTTTTCTCCTCGTGTTCTGCTTTGTAAACATTGAAAAATGCCGTGAAAGGTGTCTTTGAAGTTGCAGTCATTGAAACAGATCAATCAAAATTTGGGAATACTTTAGTTACGGCCTTTGGTTATAGAAAGGTATGATCCAAAATGGGTGATTTCCGCAATGTCAAAAGGGCCGATCCCAACGGGCTTCCACTGTCGATGAATGCCATCAAAGGGGGTAAAAATCTTATCTTGCAATCTAAAACCGTGTCATCTTTCCTGCACAAAGCCTCAATCGAGTCCAACAATCCAACTATGGATGGTTATGTGCGCTTTCTAGTGTCTATAAAAGGTACCCAAGGCACCAAGCGAGCATGACCGGCGCTTGGAGTGGGAGCTCTTGATGACTGAGCAATGCCTGACGAGAATAGCCCTCGCCAGTATTGATGCTTGATTGCCCTCGTGCTTCAGCAAGACTTTACACCAGCTCGCGCTCCTCAGATGTATTTTTTAGCCAATGTACTTAGCTCCTAGTCATCTAGATCTTCAAAAACTTCACCTGCCTCTTCTTCCTACAGGTCCACTATGTCATCAAGAAAATTGCTTCCGTCAATTTCGGTTTCGCTGAGTGCTTCCCTGAGTTCGATCAAAGATTTTATATGCCGTATCATAACCGAGAGATTACAAAATTCTCGTATAATTTACGATCTTACTGAGAGGATTTCAAACCTTTCTAGAAATAATGTCGCACTCTCTCTTTAACTCTAATTCGCACGTTAAGCTACACCCATAGAACATATTGAATTTCTTGAAGAGTTTCTGCTTACTTGCTGTTCTTAGACCCTTTCAAGTTGAACTATCCGTGATTTGATTACAAGCTATAAATTCAATGAAGCTAGTTGAAGATGTAGTCTACTTTGATGATTTGAATATCTTACAATCTTATCAAGTCCATTCGACTTGATATGTTTTATTCAGAACACAGACAAATGATCAGGTTGTAAATATGTTTGAAAAATTGATCATAGAATCATTTTTGATATTGGATTGCTTACATAATTTGTGATTGAACAAAGAGTACTTTTAATGTACAGTTCATTGAGACTCGAGTTTCTCAATTTGTTCCCCTCGCAATGACATCAGTTGATGACTTCAGCTTGTGGATTGTAGGCCGGCTGATTTCTTAGCATTCAATCAGTTTTGTCCCCGTTTTTGCCAGTTTGAAAGAGGAGAGCAGTGGACTTTTCCACTTGAACGACAGCGGAAGTGATGGCTGAAAAACGAATCGAAGAAAAGACAGATGTACACTCTACCGATCTCTTCATATTTATTGCAATATGTCATCTTCATCTTAATCCGGAAGGTAGAATGGGAGACGTAAGTCCAGCTATCACCTCACCATTTTTGATTGGGACAGATTACTTACGAAAAGATGCTTCTGAAAATGAAGTGAGTTGAGGATAATGTTCAAATGAGCCCGTGGTCAGATACATGTCACCGCAGAGTCTTCGGATAAGCCTTTTCCATGACGGAGCTTGTCTCGTGATGTTCTTTGATACTGTAGAGGGACCTCCTAGGAGAAATCAAAAGATGATGTAATTCAATCGATGGCACCATAGCTTTCTTCGGAGTCATTCAATCCATCTTATTAGGGCGAGATTTGGACTGCATCAGCTTGCACTTTAGTGAAGAGAAAGCATGATGTGACCTATAAGGTTGGGATCAGCCTGTAATCTTAGCGCGAGTTTGTTGAAGCTGGTTCCACTGAACAGAAAAGGACAATTAACAAAACTTTAGGAATTTCCTCAGAGGTTGTTGTATACTAAGAGCCGCACTGAATGATCGGCGTAGTATCCAGACATACAGAGAAAAGCAGGTTTGTTAGCATACAGTACCATCACGGAGCGAAGATGGCGCTACTGAACACGAGAAATAAAACATTACAATACATTTCCAATAAAATCATCCTAAGTATATGATAACATTTCTTAGAAAGGTCACGTGTGGATCAGCTTCGAAGCTGTATGTATTGGGTACAAATATCCTAACTTTCTCTGATTGCTGTTCCTCTCCTTCCCAACTCTCTACCACCACCACAAGATTATCCTTTCCATAAAACTTTTTCACTACCTCTTGAATCCTTCCCACTTCTCTTCCATTTCTCTTTCATCATGAATCTCCCCAAGTTAACTTTTAAAAAGATCTTCGGTCCTCGTTTTCAAAAAACCCTCTTTGTTTACTTCCCGTTGAACTTCTTCTTTGTTATCTTTTTGATTTTTGGCACTCACAAGATCTCTCGTTTCAAAGTTCCAGAGTCATTCATCCTTAAACTCATCGCTAAAAAGTTGTACATCATTCTTCCTTGGGCTTATTTCCATTCTCATGTTCTTTACTCTCGCTACGACACTCTTCCAAAGAAGCGTTCGACTATTCCTGAGAAAGATATCGAACTCGGTCCAGTAGCTCCTCTTCCGAAACCTCTCGATGCTCCAACCCCTCTTCCAGCCGAATTTGTTGAAATTGATCTAGGTATGTTATCTTTCCTACATTTCTTCTTTCTCATGATTTTATAAACCAGTCTAACAAACTCTTCAATTGCTTCAAGGTGAAGGTCCCTCAAACTGCGGTCTTCCTGGTCCTCCTCGACCTTTTTTAACATGTGAAGTTTGAAGAACTCGACTTGATTTCATCTTGGTATGTTATCTCTGCCTTCATTTCCCATCGATTCATCTTTTCTGAGCGCAAATTCATTACATATTTTGAGTGATCTAATCCTTTTGACTCTTCCCAAATCTCTTGTGACTCGGCAGGCGACGTGTTCCTCGATCTATTTCCTTATCTCAATGTCTTGTTTGGTGACCATTCCATTCTCTTGTTTGAAATGTGTTCTTGTTGTTTTTGTTTTGCGATGATGAGCAGGAGTTTACTTTTTGGATATTCGTATCGAGTCGTGGCCGATATTTGAATCAATTAGTACTTTAAATACCCTCACTCTGAGCTCCTTTACTTCTATCTGTCAATTTAATTTGTAATCAAAAGATATATATCAACATCTCTTTTTGAATGCTTTGAAGTGGCTGAGTGAATATGAATTCAAAGATACCAAAGTAGCAGCTTGCTTCCCTCATCATATGGCTATGATCTTGGGGATTGGCTTCTGAGTTCGACATCTTCAGGGAGTTTTTTTGTTTCTCTACCTTCACCAAGAAAGATATCAAGCTTGGTCCAGTAGCTCCTCCTCCAAAGCTTTTGATGCTATGATTTCCAACCTTCCAAACCAAACTCCCCAAAAGACGCCTCCACATGAGTTTGCTGAAGTCGATCTAGGTATGTATACCTTCTTTTGATACTGAGTTTGCTTCTGTTTGATTGTATTCTGATGGTTTGCTTCTCCGTTGTTCTTTTTATGCAAGGGTCCCTCAAACTACGGCTTTCCTGGTCCTCCGCAACATTTTTCAACATATGACGTTTGAAAAACTCTTCTTTTGAATTACTATTCTTCGTCCATTAGATTGCCTCC